TATGGAATTGGAATTTTACCTGATATATAGAATGAATTAGATGAAAATAGTTTTATGTTTTGATGAAATATTACTATAAATTTTATATTACATAATGAATTTTTATAACTTTGACTCATGCCTTAGCATACAGCTTGTTTATATTGTATCTGGTTTACTGTTATCAATTGTTGTATTGGATTATTGTCTTATCTCACATAATTTTGTCAATTTTATTAATGAAGTGAACCAGAATTAGAATTTTNTATTGTATCTGATGTAAATTTGTTTATGTATGTCCGCTTTATGCTTTATAATTGTTTGCATGTATGTTTGTTTTGTTTTTTGTTTTTGACATGTTTCAATTAATTATTGTAACTTAAATTTTGATCTTGTGACTCATTCTATATCCTATGGCTTGTATTATGCCTGTATCAGGATCAATTAGAAAGTGAAATGAATGAATGAATGAATGAATTGAAAATTATGTATTAGGGTCTGGTACTCTAGATGTAGGTACCAGAGAGGTGGTGTTTGTAAATTTGTTCGTAAGGAATTATGTTTTAGTCATGTTGATTTAGCAATCTACTATGTGGAAAAAATTTTAGAATTATGTGCTGTTAAAATAGTCTAATGGTCTGGGTTTAGTTGTTTGTTTATATAGATCTCCTGCAGGTGACTTTTGTCAATTCTTGAATTTGTTAGAAAAAGTTTTGTTGTTTTTGTATAAACCATCTATTGAATTATTAATATGTGGAGATTTTAATGTTTATTATTTATTAAACGATAACCGTAAACAGCAATTGGACAACATTTTAAACACATTCAATACGGTACATAGTTAATTTCCCGACTAGACTGCAAAATAATCATGCTTCAGCTATTGACAACATTTTAATAGATAAATCAAGATTACCTTCTTGTATAACATTACCCCTATGTAATGCACTGTCTGATCATGAGGCACAATGTTTCATACCTGATAAATATTTTGCTACTACTTATAAAATTAACAATAAATCAAGATCTAGTCATAAATCTGGATTGCTGACTAGTGAAACTATTATTTCACTGAACAGCTATCTTATGAAAAATGGAATGAAGTTTATCTTAATACTGATGTTAATTGTGCTTGTAATAAATTTTTATCTATATTTTTAAACATTTATGAAGCAAGCTTCCCTGTTGTCTACTTGAGCAATAACAATGATAAAAGTTGAATTACTACTGGTATAAAGACATCTTGTAAATGTAAAAGACTTTATATAAGTTAATCGAATATAGTAACGATCCAAGAGTAAAAACTTATTATAAAAAGTATTGTCTTATTTTAAGGAAAGTAATTTATGAAGCAAAAAAATTATATCATAATCAGTTAATTGAAATTTCTAACAGAAATAAAACAGCATGGATTATTATAAGAAATGTATTGCATAAATCCACCAAAGACAATTATATGCCGGTTACGTTTAAAATGGATAATAGGAACATTCAATCTAAAGATGTGGCTCATGCTTTCAAGGAGTATTTTTTTAATATTGCTCATAGTCTGCAAACACATCCAGATAAAACTAATTCACCTCTTAAATTATTAAAGAATGCTTATCAGCCTACTTTTCAGAGTATGAAAGTAATTCCTGTAACCAAAGGAGAAATTATCAATATACAGTAAAACTTGGTTATAGCAACATCGGTTTCTGCGACACCTTGTCTATTGCGTCAAATATTCAATGGTACGAACTAATTCCTCATAAAGCAACTGTTTTTATACCTTGCTTAGTACGACATGCACAAATGCATCAACCTCGTATGTAACGTCATTTTCATTCCTGAATTTCTCTGATATGGTGATTGAACGTAATTTAGAAAGTGTGTATTGGGNGCAGTAGCGAAAACATGGCAATGAAAAGGAAAGTTTTAAGCATTGAAGAGAAAGTTAAAGTGATTCGTGAAATAGAAAATGGAAGGAAAAAAGCTGATGTATGCCGCGAATTTGGTTTGGTGAATTCTACAGTACAAACGATATGGAGAATCCATATTAATTCCACGTTAATGTTACGTTAGTCTGTACTTAACTACGTATTTCACTAAAAAAAATGCAACATTTTAACTCGGTTTTGGTAAATTTTTACGTGACCAACATGAGGCTACTGTGGAAGTGCCCATTTCGGTTACGACATTCGTTTATAACGACACTATTTTTAGGTCCCTTTGATGACGTTATAACCAAGTTCTACTGTAATTTGTTCTTTAAAATCAAAGAAGTCCTCTGGTTATGATGGGATTTCATCTAAAATATTAAAACTTTGTAGCATCTTTATAAGTGCGCCCCTTTCCTACATCTGTAATATGTCTATCATTACTGGTGTATTTCCTGAACACTTGAAGTATGCTGTTATGAAGACCCTGTATAAGAAAGGAGATAAGGTTGATATTACGAACTATAGACCTATTTCTATGTTGACCGTATTTAGTAAAGTTATGGGAAAAGGTATGCATTGTAGATTGAGTCAGCATCTACAAGTCAATAATATTCTGGTGCAGGAACAATTTGGCCTTAGGGAAAATTTCTCAACAGACCATGCTGCTTTTTCTTTTATAACTGGCATACTTCAGGCCTAGAATGACAAACTGCAAACTGCAGGGATTTTTTGTGACCCTGCTAAGGCTTTTGACTATGTTAATTATGAGATATTGACATCTAAACTAGAGTATTATGGTGTCTGGGGTTGTATATTAAACTGGTTCAAATCATATCTATTGGATAGAAAACAGAGAGTTTACATTAAAGCTAATGATGGTCAGGACTATTCTTCATCTTGGGAAAGAGTTAAACAAGGGGTTCCACAGGGGTCGGTTTTGGGACCCCTTCTATTTATTATTTACATTAATGATTTGCCTCCATATATTAATAAACTGGCTAAAGTTTTTCTTTTTGCTGATGATACCAGTATTTTGGCTACTGGTAATAATCATGATGAGCTTAAGCATGAAGTCATGGGTGCAGTGTCTCTTATTATAAATTGGTTCACAGCTAATAAGTTGGCTTTAAATATCACTAAACTAATACTATTAGATTTGCTCTAAAACAGTCTTATAACTCTCTGGCAGTCGCTAGCGGGAATTTGTTTATGAATGAAGTTCCTGTGATTACATTTTTGGGTCTGCAAATTGATAGGAATTTGGAGTGGAAGGGTCATGTAGAGTATATTCTCCCTAAACTTAGTTCAGCTATTTTTGTAATTAGGAGTTATCTTATTTTATGAGTAAAAAATTTTTACGAATGGTGTATTTTTCTTATTTCCACTCTATTCTTAAGTACGGAATAATTTTCTGGGGCAACTCAACGAATAATGCCAGAGAAAAAAAAACAATAAGGATTATATCTGGAGTGGGACCTAGAGACTCGTGTAGGGATCTTTTTAGGAAATTGAATATACTGCCATTGTCATGTGAATACATTCTCTCATTGATGATGTTTGTGATTGATAATCAAACTAAATTTTGTTCAGGTTTAGATGTTCATGGTTTGAATACAAGAAATTGAAAGCAATTATATTTGCCAAACTCGAATCTTTCTGCTTTTCAGAAAGGTACTATGTTTACTGCTATTAAACTATTCAACAGATTGCCCATAACCATTCAAAGCCTTAAAGAGGATAGAATTAGTTTTAAAAATAGGCTGTTTTTATAGCTTATGAATAGTTCCTTTTATACAGTTTCTGAATATGTGGAGCATAACATAAACAATTAGTTTTAATTATTCTGTTATCCGTGTGTTTAATTTTTTTTTTGATATGATGACCTTCATGTCCATTGTTTTGGACTTGTGAAATGAAATGTAAGTATGTATGTATGTATGTATGTATGTAGGATGGCTAGGTAAGGAATACAGCAGGAACAGACAGATCAGGGACAAATCACCTTTAAGCAATGTGCCTGGCTGAATGAACAAGTTCTCAACACAAATATTTAATAGATGTAACACATCCTCAAATGTTCTAGGAGATGAGACTGTGATTACAAAACAACTCCTCCCTTAATCTCCTTGGTTCACTCTAAGCAGACGACACTGGGGGTGCTCACAGTGGTAACTAAGAGGTTTATTGTCTTCTGGGAGGTGAAGCCATGCAATTTGGTACATTCAAGAACACACTACTTCTCAGAAAAAGAATATACTTTTGGAGAAGTAATGTTTCCAGAAGCTTCCAATGATATCAATACGAACAATTTCACTCTCTGCATCTGTATTAGCAACAGGCCATCACCTTACACTGTATATCCAAAATTAAGACATGTGCCATTTCTGTTCAAATCTATATAAAAAAGTGATGAACCGGTTCGTTTCAAAGCAACAGTTCTTTCTTCTTCCAGGATGTTTTCACTGTGTTGCCTGCAACCTTCTGCCTTCAACTTCAGTAAGTTGAGAGTCTAAACCCGATGATACAGGGGGAGGGATGGCCAGAACCAAGGCCCTCAACGAACCGACAGAAAGAGAACAGTGAAAAATACATCTGGCCTATTCATTTTCTCTCTCCTCCACTTCCTCCCCTATCCCAATCAGCTACTGTTTGTAGTTTATCTGTTGCCCCACTGAAGCTGCCATTGCAAAATAACCCTTTAAAGGGCCACTGTTCCCTTACCTCATTTCCTGTGCCTTCCTTCTTCCTCCTATTGGCTATTTCTCCCATTGACTCTACCCTCAGAAAACAGCCCTCTGACGAACCATCATACTTCTTCACTGTTCTCCTTACTCCTGTTGGTTCGCTCAGAACCGTGGCCCCTCTCCCTGTATCCATTAAATTTCCTTACAGACAGCTTACTCTTCTACCTGAAGATGGAGGCAGCACATTCATTCAGAACATCATTCATGAATCAACAGAGCATACAGCATCCATCGCCTTACAGAAGACAGTAATCTCCATGATCACCACTGTGAGACCTCAAATCTTTTCCATAAACATTCTGATCTGCAATACATGTTGACTAAATACTTCCCAACATGTTGATGGTTCAACATTCGGAACAATACACAGATGCGTATCAATTTGTACTATACATTGCAGAGAATACAAGCCATTTAAACAAATGGTCGAACATAAAACTGCAGGCAGAGAGAGACGACCTGTGAATGACAGACAACTTCGGTCCACATTACAAGTAACATGCAGGCTGTGAAAGGTTTGCAAGGTCTATGCTCTGTAACACATAAGGCAGAATAAACTGCCTCTGTTGATAAATTAGTTCCAACACATCCACCCCTGCCTGTTTCAGGTTTTTGTGATGTTAATTATGTTCATTCCATAAGGGAGAAGCATAACAGATCACTGTAGGTCATGGTGAAAGGGCCGAGAAGGCCCACCCCTTATACATCTATTCCATAAGGGATCCAATGGTCAAGCTCTTGAAAACCAAATGTTAACTTTGTTGAAGGAATGTGAAAAAGAACAAATCAACGGGTAAATTTTCAGTTTTATCAACACGAATAGGAAGGGACTGTTCGTGTAACTGAAGACAAATGGTATTACTGAAATATCTGCATTATGAGACTTAAGCAATTGCAAGTGAAAACAGATGTTCAGTATTTTCAATAACTCTTTGCTTTCCTTTCTATACACCACCTTCACAACACTTCTCACCCACCAGTGTCTCCCTCTGCCAGTTACATTTACCAACACCCACATCAGTCTGATACATTTCTGATGACTTGGGTGCCAGGTCCTTCATACTTATGATGGTCAAAAATCAAAATCACATCTTTCGACTCAAATTCAGTCAAAGTCCAAACAGCTGCATTGATCAGATCGGCTCTACTCCTCGGGCAGGTCTCCCCAGTCTATAGGTTTCTTCCCATGTCCTTTCAGCAACTCATTGCAGCGGGAGAAGTGGCCACATCCCAGGAATCCACGATGTGCAGAAAGTGGGGACGGATGTGTCGACATAAGCAGGTGATGCCGCTTCTGTGTGCGATAGAAAATAAAGCCACGCCAAACTTCATACATTATCTACCATCTTCTTACAACTCATTTGAAGATATATTTATCGTCAGCAGTTGATATACGATATTAAAATAACTAAACAAACAGGTATGCAAATACTGAAACAGGCTGTGTGCATGTGTACTGAGTTCAAATGGCTCAAGACTGGCTCTAATGGCAGGATGTTGCGAGTGCAGTCATATGACTCATCCAACGAGTAAAGTACATTTGACATCAGACTCCCACAGTATCACACCACCACTGCCTTTTGGTAAACAACACAACACACTTCAATATAAACTGGAGTCCTGAACTACAGCCAATGTCTCACTAGATGGTAGCACTTGATCATACAGGGCTATCAAGACAAGTGTGGAACAATGAGCTGTATGTTGTTTGGTCCTTACTTCATGTAACTGTGCCAAATGAGAAAATACAAGATGATTATGTAGTCAGGAAATTATAAGGGAGAAGTGGTTGTGATCTATTTAATCATTATCATCTGGGAAAAGGGATATTACATCTCCTTCTATTACATGGCATTACAGCCACATTTTAACCCCTTTAGCAGTGGCTTATAATCTGTGTTCCTTAAATCATGACATAGCTGAGCGACTGGTAGGTAGTTAACATATGACATACATCATTACTGAATCCAGACAGCTATGAAAACCGATTCCACACAGTGCTGTCACCTCTTGCAAAACCCAGAACTACATGCAAACACAGTCATAGTCAGTATAAATAATGGAACATAACAAACACTGTACAGCATGACCCCCAACATTTTACTGGGCCATGAGAAGTCCTGGAAATACCAGTGAAAAGTTTAACTGCTATTAACTGCTCAAATGAATAACCACTTGCATCATCCACAGTCACAACACAACTGACTCTCTTCAACCATGCCCTGCAAGCATATGCAACTGACACTGTCTCCATTTTCTACTCTCACAGTGTACTACAGCATACATGGAAAGTTAGTTAGGCCACCCTATGTACACTGTAACACAGAAAGACTCTACAAAGACTAACATGGAAATGAGAAAGTACCTTATCAACAGCAGCTGCCTTCTTCTGCGCATATGAACCCCACAGCAGGAAGACAACACCACGAGAATTGTCACTGATATATTTCACAACCGCATCTGTCAGCTGCTCCCAGCCTTGGTCCTTGTGAGAGTTTGCACTGTGAGCTCGAACTGTGAGGCACGCGTTTAGAAGCAGGACGCCTGTGAGTACAGACAGATGAACTGACCACAACAGCTTCACCACAAGTTCACCAATTCACCTCATCTTGCATCCAGTGCAATACAGTAATCAATGCCTTAACAAGTCAAGTGGTTCTTATCTCTTCCACAGTGCCACATTAAATTCCCCCAGACATTTAATTTCATAATTTTTTCTCCCTTTTTAATATGCAATATATCAATAGTGTGTAATTATAAAATTATGGAACAAAAAGCCCCTGAAAGACCAATTATCAGACTTTACATATCTGTATTTTCATTTCTACAGCCATTACATTAACGTTTATATATATATATTTTTTTTAGTAAAATTCCGTTCATCTCCCACAAAAAAAAAACACACACACACGCATGAAAGATCCTCTGTGCTGTTTTGAGGTTTCCTTGGTGGTGGCAATTGCAAATGTCCACCAACTATTTCTTCATAGAATTTTGTGTTTTCATTCAATCCTCCTTCGGAAATGCGACCACTACTTCCAATGTCACACAACAAATTTGCAGTTTTCATTGGCTGTATTGGGGAAAACCAAACTACTTGACTTTTACAATGCCAGAAGAGGGATCCACCTACTTTGGGTGGGATAATTTGCACAGGTTTGGCGTCAACTGCTCCCAAGCTATCCGGAAATTGCCATTTCTCTTCAAATTCATTGCCTGTTTTAACCATTCGAAAAGAAAAAGTCAACAAATACTTTTACAGCATTTTTAATTTCCAGGCTGATTACTCCTTTAAAGAACAGCGGTGAATACAGAGCAAAATCCTAAAACTTATGAAAGAGAACTTCAATTGCTTTGTAATATGCCAATGAGAAAAATATCATTTTCTGCAACATGTATTGATACAATCTTAATATAATATAAATTCCTAATACAACAAGACCGTAAATTTTCTTTGATGTTTTTGTATTGATAAACACATACTGAAACTTTTTTTTAAATTTTGGATGATAGTTTATTGTTAACAAAGTATTTCATACCTTACAGCACTGTCCTTTTGGTTCCTTACACATTGCTCTGGAATTACTACTCCCAGAGCCTGGCCAGAGGTCACAGCAGAAAACTTTAATCTTCATAGTTCTTGCCACTTGCTAAGAACCAAAACGTAACACTGAGTCTTTTGTGATGAGTGGCTGCTCTTCTCATAACTGTGTCTCATTTTTCAATACATGGAATAATTTTCTGAAGAAAATTCTGTGTAGCTTCATCCATCTTTAAAAAATCAAACCAGTCTCCCAGATCTAACCTCAATTTGCCTAGTAGGTTTGTGTGTGAGAGAAAATTTTGTTTCAATATCCAATTTGCTGCCAACTTTTACCTAGTTAGCTTTCTCCTAATCTTTTTCTTCCTAACGATGGCAACAGCCATGTACAATATATCATCTGACATATTTTTGACACCTGAAGAACCCTGAGCAGGAAATGACCAGAAAGACAGAACAGTGTGTGTGGGCCTTCTCAGTGCTCCATCTTAGCTTCAGACTTAAGTCTGTGCAAGGAACATGTGTGGCAGTCTTAGGAAGCACATGAAGCAAGAAGTTAACAGACCAACTCTTCACACAATTAAAGAACCAAAACACTATCAGACATAAGATTATCTCTATTTCACAAGAACCTCAATATATAAATGTAAACTCTTAGTACAACAGACAGCTTTTCTGGCATCTTCAGTAATTCAGTCAAGTTTTAGTTGCGATGTTAAAAGTGATGGCTTGTTGCGTCTGCTAGGAGCCTGAAGAAAGCTGTGCATGCCTTTGTCGTTATCTTCCATTGTCCACCCATCTCATGCTCCTTGATCCAAATAACATTTGGTGAAGAGCACAAATTATGAAGCCCCTCGCTATAGACATTTCATACAAATTATTTACATTAAATACTTCATAATATACCCAAGTTACACACCCACACAAACATTTCTTAATGTAACTACAGTTCTCAAATATTCAGAGTCAATCAGTGACATTATTAAAGTCTGNCAGAAAACTTTAATCTTCATAGTTCTTGCCACTTGCTAAGAACCAAAACGTAACACTGAGTCTTTTGTGATGAGTGGCTGCTCTTCTCATAACTGTGTCTCATTTTTCAATACATGGAATAATTTTCTGAAGAAAATTCTGTGTAGCTTCATCCATCTTTAAAAAATCAAACCAGTCTCCCAGATCTAACCTCAATTTGCCTAGTAGGTTTGTGTGTGAGAGAAAATTTTGTTTCAATATCCAATTTGCTGCCAACTTTTACCTAGTTAGCTTTCTCCTAATCTTTTTCTTCCTAACGATGGCAACAGCCATGTACAATATATCATCTGACATATTTTTGACACCTGAAGAACCCTGAGCAGGAAATGACCAGAAAGACAGAACAGTGTGTGTGGGCCTTCTCAGTGCTCCACCTTAGCTTCAGACTTAAGTCTGTGTGCATGGAACATGTGTGGCAGTCTTAGGAAGCGCATGAAGCAAGAAGTTAACAGACCAACTCTTCACACAATTAAAGAACCAAAACACTATCAGACATAAGATTATCTCTATTTCGCAAGAACTTCAATATACAAATGTACACTCTTAGTACAACAGACAGCTTTTTTGGTATTTCCAGTAATTTAGTCAAGTTTTAGTTGTAATGTTAAAAGTGATGGCTTGTTGCGTCTGCTAGGAGTCTGAAGAAAGCTGTGCATGCCTTTGTCATACCTTCCATTGTCCGCCCATCTCATGCTCCTTCATCCAAATAACATTTCGTGAAGAGCACAAATTATGAAGCTCCTCGCTACAGACATTTCATACAATTTACATTAAATACTTCATAACATACCCACGTTACACACTGACAGTAACATTTCTTAATGTAACTACAGTTCTCAAATATTCAGAGTCAATCAGTGACATTATTAAAGTCTGTGTAGAATTTTCATTCAGTAACAGAAGATTTAGTTCCCCAATGTTGCAGTACCGGTGGCTAAACTCTGGTCTTGTGAAGAAGCTACAGTCTATCACAGAACTGTAGGTACACTCCAATGGAAGGATATGCTTGTTCAGAAGAACAAAGTCTCATAATCAGCCTGTACGAAACAGTGTCACACTAACTGTGTGTGTGTGGCAGAGCTGGCTGGCACAATGGTACATTTTCTCATTAATAATACTGTCATTCCCAATTGAAGCATGATTGCCAGCCCTATGTAACTGAAAGATAAAAATTCCCTAATTCTGGATAATAAATCCCAAAAATATGGCTGCCAACCCAATATTACCAGATTCAATATCCCTATTCCTGGATGATAGGTTAGGTATCTACTATAAAATTAGTGAGTTATCTAGTCATGACAGATAAAATGGACTGTCATTCCCCAGACATTATTACTGCGTCCACTCACCTTGTCTTGCCCACCCAATCAGATTACCATGATGTGGAGCCTCAAACCCAGGAATATCATGACTCAGCTCCTTGTACATGTTCAACAAACTGAAAGAAACATGTTACATATGAGGTTCTCATAGAAGTGACTATGGGGAGTGCCATCTTCTGGGACATGACACTGTGCGGTCCCTCATAAAGTCACAGACATTCTTGTGAAATGCTAAACAGTATCACACCCCAGAAGCCAGCACCCGCACATCTTCTGAATGCAGTCTAGCTACCAAAACATTTCAACCAACTACAATTAACTCACTCATTCCATACAGCAGGGTCCTTCTTGCAAAGGTAATAGTTGCTAAACTACTCAACAAGTTCCCAGTATTTTATGTAGCCTGAATGTTTATTACCATGATCACAACAGCCCCCCACTGGTCTATGTCCTCAATAAGGTGAATCAAATCCACTGCCCCCTCCCCTTATATTCCATTAAAATCCATTTTAATGTCACCATCCCACATCCCAGGTCTTCATAATGGTCAATTTCCTTCAGGTTTCTCTATCAAAATTTTGCATTAAGTTTCCTTCGTTCCTGTTCATGTTACATGCCCTGCCATTCTCATTCTTGCCTTGTTCATTCAAACTATAAAGCTACCCATGAGACACTTTTCTCTAGTCCCCTATTACGTGCCTCCAACACATGCAACAGAAATGTTACCAAAGCCCATTACTGACTACTAGAAGAAAAGTATGGGAAAATAGCAGAACAAACACAAAGACAGAAAGTACTGTACTAGGCAGGTTCAAAACGTGCCAGAGTAGGAACAATATCTAAAATCTGGTGGCACTAACAAGCCCTTAGACACAACTGTGCCCAGGATACCACCTTGCAGTAGCCGTACACTTCCGCCCAGGTTCAAAATGTTTCTGGAAGCCAGCTCATGCAAGCCCAGCACATCACAAACTGCAGCGTTTGGTGCACACTTACCTTGGAGGAGGGGGAACTCCATTGGGAACACTGAAACACAGACCTGCAACACAGAAAAATCAGTTCAGCAAAACTCACTCTCAAACTCACTTTATGAAGTAGCATCACTCAACTGCTGTGGCTATAATGTTAGGATTCCAAATGTACTCACAAGCTGCATAAGCAATACCTAACTGGCACTGCACATCACTGATTAACACAGTAACAACGTCATGCACCCACATGTCTTGTAGCGTCACCTTTACCCCAGTTGACTGGCATCTCCATGACGTTAAGAAGTACAAGCTCAGACTGTACCTGTATTTTATTCTGACTTCATCAGATGGCAGCCTTGTACCCCTCTGTCTTTGACCAAATTATGAATTTAATTTAATACATGCCAACAATCTACGAGTAGATAAAATTGATGCTTTACAGCCCATAAAGAAGGGCCTTCATCTGGGAAATGCTTTCCAGGATAGCAACTATGCTGACAGAGCTACTGGGCCAGCCTTACTCTGCGAGAGAGATACGGACGGCCAGGAGGAAACCCACTGCTGTTCTACAAATCTGAGAACCAGAAAAGTTATGAGAACTGTACCATGAGCTTGTTGAGGATTGTGGTAAGGATCCTGCCCCAGGATGACGACTTTCACTTGTGAGATGGGACATGTGTGCGTCCACGTCCAGACCTGGTCTTCAGGTGGGTACACTGTGTGAGATGCCCTCTCAGCCACAAGGAACTGGTTCAGCTGAAAGCAAATCACACACTTGGTGCAATGGTGCCACAACACACAAGCTGGTGTCAAGTGTTCACTGATCTGTGACAAGGTATGCAACAGTTGGCACTACTGATCATCCCAATGGCTCCATAAGTGCTTATAATGTGAAGGCAATTTAGTAACAGAACTCTTAAGACATGCCCTGTGTACTCATATCATGAAGCTGACTCTATATTAGGATAAGTTTAACTGCGAATTTGGTTGTCTGCATGTTTAGTGTGACCCCTATAGCCACAGTGTAGATACTGACTGCTTTTTGACTGCACCACTGAGAAGCAAACGTGATGTGATTCAAATTTTGGTCAAAATGGTTTGAGACCTTATATCTAGACCTTGTTCCAAGCAACTCGCCCCACTTCAGGCTGCTAAAAGAACATCACATGGATGCAAGACTTTTCAAGATGTGTGAGGGGCGCATTTACTTGGCCTCAGGAGCAAGTTGTTCTCAGGTAGAATCATGAAGCTGGCAAACTAAAATAACAAACAAGTGTTTGGAGAAGCAGGCATGTTACATCAAAATATGCTGCTGCAAGCATCTCTTCCCCCTTCCTCTTTGCACATTTTATATAATAAAAATAAACTGCCTTCATAGATTACTAAAGCAGTATCTCATTCTCCCAAGCACACCATCTGCCCATCTTTCAGCGTTACTCCCCTGTCTTATGCACAGGTTGAACAAGTTCCTTGTCCTACACGAAACTGGAATATTCTGTAATGCACCTTACATTAATAAAGCAGTAATGGAATTTTGGTTGTGACTTTTGAGATGCTAAGTACCACTTCTGACCAGTTAGAATCTTGGCCAAAGAAACAGCCACGCCATATTGCGATTTTCTTCAGGACTCTGCACGACTGGTAGGACAGTACTGAGAGTCCCTTAAATTGGTTGACCACATCTCCTAATCTCCTGCTTTCTGTCGAAAACTGCCCACCTTCGGCTTTCTGCAACGTACATCATATTCAGCAAACTCTGTTACCCAGCACATATGGGGAAAGCAGTGTGCAGAGTACATAAATCTGCTGAGTGCAATACAAAAGACACTCTTACGGAAACCCAATACAAAGCAACTCACTTCTGCTTTACTTCTTGTGCATCTGTCTCCCGAGGCAACACAGTGGATTCGTGGGTGGACTTCAAATACACTGTAGTGCAATCACAAATGACACCATGGATGAGGGGAGGCTACAGGAGTGCCTTTGCTTGGAGAACTATATATCTGCCATCAAGTGAATATAGACACATCTCAACTTTGTTTTTGAAGTAGCTTGATATCCAGTTGGATGGCTGGATTCAATGTCCCCCACTCCCATTTAAATTTGGAAAACAATGACACAAAAAAAGCAACTTACTTTTTTATGGGACTACATTCTCATTATTCTGATAAATCAAAACTTGCATGGGATCTTCCACTGTCACATGGCAAACCCATTACTTGATAAGACACATTTTTCTGCATCTAACATATCCTCCTTTACATATCATAAACAAGAGAAATGAAATGCAATTTTGCAAAAAATTCTCAATTTTCAACGTGCTGAAGGAACACAAGTTATGTAATATGTCAGGAACAAGTAATCTCCGGTTTCATTGTGTTGTGTATATTCTGTACTGATGTGAATATATGAAATCCATTTAGTATATATGATGGCATATGAAGAGTTTGTGGCGATTTAGGTTTCTTTCATTTTCAAAACCTCCATGCAGAAGACAACCACACAGACTAGTTCAGTACAATAATGCAGATGGAGCTCTAACCTGAAACTAACAAGATAACCCAAGTGGACATTATATGGGTCTATGTAAGTAATATGATGGCAATATGCCTATGTAAATGCCTGAAATCATATATCCAAGAATGGAATAAGACATATCTGACTAAATTCAATCCTTATATGCAATACCAGCACCACTGGTATAACCACACACCCTCGCTTTGACGTATCGTACATGAAATTGAAAATGACTCGAAACCACGTACAGCAACCCAGTATATTACTGACGTCCCAGTGTTAACAATCAATACCTTCATGAAGTACGGTTTCCCGAATTCTGGAGATAATGCTTCAAACCAAGAGCCCCCAATGTTCACATGCAAGGCTGGATATCGTTTCGAAATCAACTTAATTTTCGCCTGAAGATAATTATTGAAGAATGGCGATTTCCGATTTGTGTCTGTACTTTGCTCTTTCGAAGTGAGGTCCTTTTCTTGAACGCAATCTGACTTTGGTTTCTTATTTGGTATATCTCTTTCACTGTCATTAATGCAAGACAGAGGCCTTTTTACAGCCAAAGGTTTAAAAAAATTCAATATATTCTTTTGACAAGACATGTCACATACAAAATACACACAAAGTTCTAAACAACTGTAACTTCGTTTCCACTGCAAAGAAATAAAACTCTACACCGCTCTACATCATTTCCTGCACTTTTCCCGCCGAACAGGTTAGCCAATATCTGGCCATTATATTATACTATGTGAGTACGGCGGCTAGTGCTGCAGAACATATGCGATTCAAAGCATTTGGCGTTCTTGGTTGTAAGCAGTCAATGGCAGAGTTTTTCTTCGTCTAATAAACGATATCTTTATCAGATTTCATCACACAGTACACACATACAAGTTTCTGTTTGAGTGTGGTAAAGCTTGGTTCTGCAGATTTTATGATGGACACCGTGTTTTGCAAGTCGAATGATTAGACGCTGCAATTCATATTTGCCTTCAGTCCATATCACGCGTAGGTGGTACCAACCTTACCCGTTTAATTGGCTGCCAACTTTACTAATCCCCGCCATGCATCACCGATGAGACAGACGCCCGCATGTCCCTCACCTTCTTCAATACTCTAATAGATGGCAGGAGGAACCGCTTTCTCAATTTGGGCAAGAACGGTAAAGGGGCAGGTGAGGAAGCTACATTGCATGGTGCTAATGAAATGGCCTGTCTTTGTGTTCAACGAGATGAAGATAACCGTCGTGACTTCATGTCTATAAACCGTATGAGAGCAGTCCACTTCATTGTAAAAGCAGCTTAAGTAGATTTAACATTGTATCTACGGCTGAATGCGAATGTGGTGACGTGCTGCAAACGGAGGAGCATACCTTCTGGAGCTGTAAACTGTACGAGGGCCATAGGGTAGCAATGACGGACGTTTTGTCCGAGAACAGCGAAAAAGAATACCTAAAGTCAGTTACAAAGCTCTTAAGGCTAGAGGAAAAAACATTTATGCAAGGCGTCTGTTACAAACCGAAATTAACGGCCGTGGGGATTCGTTGCGCTGACCACGCGACACCTTCTATCCGCAAAAGTTGACACTAAACTTCACCGACAAGCGGCGGTCGCTCGGTCGGTATAGTTCGCTTGCGGACTAAAATCACGGAGTTTGTTTGTTTGTTTGTTTGTCTGTTACTCGCTCATAGAGCTGAGCCCTTCTTGAGAAGCCGCCAATTGTGGAGCTACTCAAGAACTTCGCAGAATTTTATGGAAACCGAAGGTACATTACCGTGCTCATAGGAGCCCTCCACTGGTCCCTATCCTGAGCCAGATCGATCAGTCAATACCATCCCATCCTATCCCTGTTACTTCATAAACAAAGTTCCTAAATGTATATGAAGAGAAAGAAGTAAATGTACAAAATATTAATAGTATATTCTTAGAGTTAGGGTAAGATATGTATTAAAAATTAAGGGGCGATCGCTATGATGGAATAAGATATTTATACGACTGTGCTAGAGAGGGCCGGATGGGCATTGCTTAGGACTTTTTTGTATATACATTTATTTTTCAAAACAAACCAAAATATAACAAAAGCCATCGCGAGAAGAGTTTCCTTGGAGGGGAGTACACATCACGTGACGTCGTTTGCTCCGACACACGAATGACACTTTTGCATAGGACGTTTTTAAGTCTTCCAGTTTTTCTGGCGTCATTTTGAGTGATTCCAGAGGCGCTAACAGAAGTTACTTATGAATGCAGATACTCATTACTATATGCGAGTTCGAAAAATATTAATTAATTCTACTGCATCATCTAATTAAGACTAATTTCAATTATTAGTATTCGCTTTGATGTGAAGTGCTTGCTGACCAGTAGAGAAAGGCGCGAAGAAAGGTGACTAGATTATTATGTAGGTTTGCCGATGAGGAATTGGAAGGGAAAAGTGAAATTATGTTCGAGTTATGCGATTTCACCCGCTGGAATTTTTTTTTCTGGAATACAACTGCCACATAAATCGAGTAATATCTGTACTGGAAAATTTGAAAGCTAATATATAAAAATGTACAAAATATATAAGGGATTTTGTTATAAAACAGGTTGTTGCACTAATTTTAGATAAAAATAAATCATGATTTTTCTAATTTAAGAAGTTATCAGCTCATAGACCCAGGTAAGTAAGTAAAAAAGTAAGCTATCCCTCTAACAGGCAGTGAAGGCCCATGGGGTTGTGAGACGTTGAGGTTCCCACATTATCTAGACAATCGGCTCAAAGATGGCGGTAAGGTTGTCAGCCTTACGCGCCTGCCGCGCTTTACTCCCCAGGAAAATTATTTAATTAATTCCTGGTACTCATTTCTGTCAGAGGCTGAGTAAACCCTAGGGTCTAGTGTGGCTGGAAGGATTAGGTCAACTGAAAAAATCCAATGATCTCATCGGGACTTGAACCCGCGACCTGCCGGCTTGTAGCATAGCCCCTCAACCAACTACGCTACCGCGTGCCCTCATTCTTCAGTCCTGAAGATGGAGGCAATATGTTCCTCCGAAACGTCAGTTTATTTCCAAACTACACGGTGATACAACTCAGAAAACTGTAATTCTTATTTTACTCTAGGAGAGCAACTTTCCAAACATACTACTTCATATGTCACTTCCGGCCCCATTCCAAAAGAAATACGCACGTGACGTCTAGGGGTTTCCCATTTGGTTCGATATGATAGATTAATATGTGAATAATAAAGATAGCAAGCCCCTAGTCCTTCTACATCGGACATCCACGCAATTACGGAATTACAAATTTCGTGTAACCGACCTGCCATCTGGCCTATTGACGATGTCCATCACTTTCCTTACAGCAAACACGCCGTTATTTGATTATGTCCTGATTTCTCGACAACCTGTCACGTTCTGTGTGCGTTCATTCCAAAATGGAAGAATGATGTCGTGAGCCCCCCCCCCCCNGTTATCTCTTTGAAATTACTGGAGGATAGATCAATAAATATACAAAGCTAATCCTCTTACAAGGAACAGCATATGACAAGTTAACCATAGAGCCTCTTACACCTTAATGGCATTCTCACCTTCTCTTGGTACATCAAGTTTTACACACGAGGCTTCGACGACCAAGCAAAGACGACATAGTTATTACATCTGCAATAATTGCAAAAATTCGCCTAGTACCTTCTGTACGTCTGCCTGTTCGCATGTCAAAATTGAACATTGACAAAATATTTTAATGAAATTTGATATTGGCAAGTTTCTTTTTTTTTTTCAAATTTGTCGACAAATTCCAATTTTGATTAACATCAGACAACAATAACGGACACTTCACATGGAGACATAAATTCGTTCCTGTAGCATCTCTAATGTAACTCGCTGAACATTTATCGGAGAGGCAATGTTTCAAAACAAATTGTAGGGAAAAATGCATCAGTCATCTTATGCCCAGCCAACTTTCCGTAAGTCTTGGGTTTTAGAGATGATAAAGCCAAATGGATTACATTCCGCGTGAGATCGTAACTAGAGATCCGTTGGGCATATTTCAAACAAATTTCATACTGGAAGTCGTTGCTCATTCGTCCGGTCTCTTCTGCGCTGTTCGGAGATCACTGACAGACTACAGTGCTGGACCATTAACAGACTGAACACGACAGAACTGTTGGCTGTGCTTGCATTTCCTAAATTATTGTGGTCCCTGTTATTCGTGTCCGTGAGCTGCAACGCGTTTTCATAAACGAGACCCTGGAGACAGAAACATTGCTGTACAACCATTAGATGTCGCTTAAAACAAACTGCTTTACCAAGACATGGATTTGAATTAATCTGCATTAAGTTTTCGTGCATGTCATTGAATCAGCTCGTACAAATCAATCAATACAGCCTCACGACTCTAATCAGTTAACTCATCGCCGTTAAAATACGACTCATTATATTTTCTCATCTTTCCAGATGTAACTTTGATTAGGTAAGAGGTCGCTGTGTCTAAACACCACACCGTCACGGCGTATGGGAAGCGTATAGGCAAAACTCCACTCACCAACCTTTGCATTAAGCCTTCACGCTCCGGCCGCCTTATTTCAAGTACAGAGTGGAGCAGAAGCTGGGTGATCGCCAAGAGAAGAGAAGAGTTCTGAACCCTGGCCAGAACTTAATCCAGGCCAGAAGTTGGAGCAGGCCTGCAGTATCCAGTTGCCGGCGGTCAGCGCAGTGAGCCTGTAAGTGAAGGTGGAGCAGGCCCGCAGTGTCCAGTTCGACCAGTTGCCCGCGGCCTGACCAGTCATGAGGTGCGGCGTGTGGCTGTTGAGGTTTGCCATGCTTCTCAGTGTGGCTGCAACCGCTCACCTGCATAACGTCATTTCCGCTTTTCTGGAAGACCTGGCACTTGTTCAGCAGTGGCGTAGTCTGACCCTGGTTCACTGCTCCGGTGAGTAAACAGCTCTCCCCCACTTAATTAGACTCCACAACAAGGACACGTAAGGTAGGGCGGAGGTATAGTTCCACGCACTCTTAACCTCGGCACTAGATTGAGGTGAGCGGTCAGCTTCACGCTAAAGCTGTCTTATCCCCGGTACCAATTGGATCACAGGCTGGGTGGGTCCCGGAGACGGTCTGGACGCTGTGGAGAATAGGAAAATATCTTGTCCGTGCCGCCAATCCAGCTTCGATTGTCCAGACCGTAGCCTAGTCACTATACTGACTGAGCTATCTTTGAACCTCAGGTGTCATGCACCGGTAAGGACTCCATTTTCACAAACGACGTCCTGATGACCGAGTCCTGACCGTGTTGCTCACTCAGAATAATAGGGCAAGACGAAAAGAAAACATCCAGGACAGCTCAGCTATGCGATGGACGACATGAGAATCAACGTTCGATTCACGGCAGGCACAACAGATTTCTCTCTTCTCCACAGCGTCCAGACCGGCCCTGGGGCCCACCCAGGCTTCTACACAGTGGATAGCGTGGTCTCTTTTTCCGGCAGTAAAGCGGCCGGGACATGAAGCTGACCACTCACCTTTATATAGTGCCAAAACTAAGAATACATGGAGCTATACTTCGGTTCCTCGATACATCTCAATGTAATGGAGTTCCATTCAGGACTTGAAAATCGGTGCAAAGCTTGCACACGCTTTCCCATATTCGAGTAACCTTAACTACGTTACCTTGGAAGGGAAACCGATTGTTACATGGTGGACCATTGTTGGTTACCAAATTCCTAACACCAGTGAAACCCGTCCGGCCGGTAAAGAAGATTTCAGCAGCATGCGCATTTAGCGTTTGGGCTCCAAATGCGCGTACACTTATTTTCTTGAAGGTACTGCCTGCGCAGGTCTATTTAGGGAGAATGTTTCCACTAATTAGTGGAATTTAATAAAAAAGTTTTAGCAGTTTTTGATAAAATTTCCGTTTTGTGTTGTGAGGCGCAGTTCAAGGATCCCTCTTTTTGGAATTGGAATGTTCATATTCACCGGGCACCGGACCTGTGATCGATAAACTCCTGAATATCGAATATCAGTAACATCTGTGCAACCATTTAGGAGCTAGCGCGCAAACACACACCCACATATTTCCCAAAACATTTTTTATTTTCGTTATCTGGGGTTCTGAAAACGTGTAAATGATCAAGATCTCGAAATCTGCGTACATTCTTCAGTCACAACACCTAACATACTTGTAGCCTTATGCTGAGTATGTGAGGGAGTAAAACAATATTTTATTTTGGAGTTAAGGTTCTTGCAACAGTAACTATGAAGAGTTCCATTTCCTGAAATATAATGAATTGTATTCCAGTAAAAGTCAACCAACGTTTCGCAGAAATATATGTCATCTGTATCTTCAGGATCAAAGACTATGCCAAGCAAGAAACCAGTATGCAGCAAGCAGAGCTCAGCTCTTAAAACAGAGCGACATGTTCCTCCAAAACGTTGGTTGACTTTCACTGGAATACACAGCGTTATATCCTAGAAGATAGAACTTTTGAATAGTTTACTGTTCTACGTTGAAGGCGAAGTTCTTCTAAAACAAGGTGACATCTGCAGTTCTTCTCCTTCCCCTAGATGGCACCTACCAACACTTCATTAACAACAGCCCAGTGAAATTTAGTTCTTTTTTTTTTTTTTTAATATATATAAAGATTATTCTTTTCTGGGTTGATATACGATGTTGTGTGACAGACTGTGACCTACGTTTTGGAGGGACTTATGATGACCTGCCAAACTGAATGATGGCATATCCTAGAAGACAGTACTTCATTCCAACATGAGAACCTCAAACCTCACTTTAGGGCCTTATTTTCTAGGCGGAAAGACTGAATCATTGTGTTGTGGGGAGAGGGGGAAGATAATGCTTAGAGTGTTGGTGTGCTGGTGTTACTGTTCCAGGGGACCAGGAGTTCCTGTACTGGCATAGGAAGACATCGGCATCGCTTTACGTGCGGCTTCTCTCTGGAGACCACAACCTCTCCCCACTCCCCCCAGAGGCCTTCACCATTCCAATGGTTGTGCTCCCCGCTTGTTCTCTCACACCAAATTTAATAATTCAGGTCAGTCGCTTCCATTGGCATGCATCTTGAACCGTTCTTATAAAGTTTGTTGAACTATTCTACTAGAACATATTGAATGATTCTACAACATGTGAACCATGCCACTAGAATATTCTAAACTGTTCTACTGGAATATATTTAATTACTAGTGTATGTATAGCTGCTTTACTAGAATGCATTGAATGATTCCATGACATGTTGAACCATGCCACTAGAATATTCTGAACTGTTCTTCTGAATATGTTGAACCATTATACCAAGGCATGTTTAAATAAAAAGATGAGACAATCTGCCTTATAGACAGAACATTTCCGTGAATGAAAATAATCTGACATATTTTTAAATATTTAGCTTTGTTTTCATTGGGAACAGGGGCTCTGTTGAGGACAATATTTGGACCTAAGAAGGGAGGAGTAACAGGAGAATGGGGAAATTTGCATAATGAGCTCTATAATTTGTACTCTTCACCGAATATTATTAGAGGGATCAAATCAAAGAGGATGAGATGGATGAGACATGACACATGTAACATGCATATGAGAGAAGAGAAATGCATATAAAATTTTGGCAGAAAAACCTGTAATGAAATATCCAACTGGGAGACCTTGTCTTCTTGGTGAAATCATGTGTTTAAAACACATTACTTCTTAGCTCACCTGTAGTAATGCCTCATGCCTCACTTTTATTATGGCACACTCCTCAGAAGATCAAATCATGTTGACATGGAGGAAGTACCACTACCAAAAACTGTGTAATTTAAATTGTAGGTCCTATGTGTTCTTTGCACAAAGCTAATAAAATGAATGCAAAGTGTGGAGGTCATTCCCTTCTGCATCTTCAGAATTAATAATAGAATTTGGGGCAATTTCACACTGGGACTCTAAACCAAAATCTCCCGACATAAGCAACACAGACCCAAAGTAGTATATTCTTCTGTATTTTACGAATAGTCTCCTGAGATGTGATGCCTTGTAGTTTGCTAGACTGGTACCAATGTTTCGGAAGAATCTGATATTTGTATCATCCTGGTGAAATATTCGTAATCACCTGTCAGATTAGACGGTGTCATAACCCAGAAGTCCACAATATGAAACACCCAGCTAAGTAAATTTCAAACACATCAAATATTTGAGGCCCGAAGTTCATCCGAATAATACTTAAAAATTCAGTTGTTTTAGAGAACACAGTGTCTCCATTATCAAAACAAACCGGTTACTGTGTGTTATGGCTGTTTATTATCAGAATCATACAGAACATGCAAACATAACATGCATGGGCAAATTCGGGTTCTTCAATGTTAAAAAAGGAGATATTCATAATTACCTTGAGCTTTAAGGGGTTAACCATCTCTTACCATTCCAGGTAAATAATAGGGGACTTCTAACCAAAATGTACTCATGGTGGATACTAGTGATGGAGGGTTGGTATGAGCCTGAAGAAGCCAGAAATGCAACATACAAGAGGTTCTCTCGCCTTCAGGTCAGTGCCATAACACACAGAAATCTCTAAATTACATTATGCTTCTACTCTTTCTCTTTATGGTACAATCTCCATTTTACAAGGTACAACAGACAGTCTTCTTGTCTTCTTGACATCTTCTGGGCTAACCGCCTTGTTGAGGATCACTCAAGAGGTCTCTTTCCTTTAAATTTTAATTTTGATGTTCTTCTCATTTCTCTGTCCATTCTATTTACATATCCAAATTATTGCAATAATTTATTTTTGAACTATAATAATAAATTTAAAATTCCAACTCCTTTAAGAATTTTGTTCTTAATCCTGTCGCTTCTTGTCCCCCTTCCAATACATCTCCATTCCCGGAAGCGTTGGTTGGATTCGGCTGGACTTCACGGCGTTGTATTCAGAGAACAGAACTCTTTATATTTTTCTAATAGGTGCCGGGATAGCTCAGTCGGCATAGGGACTGACTGGACAGCCGGGATTCCATTCCTGGCAGGGACATGAGCCTTTTTCCCATAGCATCCAGACTGGCTCCGCAGCCCATCCAGCCGCCTACCCAATGGGTGCCACAGGCTCCTTTACTGGGGGTAAAACGATCAGGGCATGATAGCTTACCATTTAGTGCACAGATTAGGAATGGTGGAGCTTATCTATACTTCTGCATAAGTTTTCATGACATGGTGCTTAAAGACACAGGGACAATTATAAATCTGCTTGTGGTTCTGTTGCAATCCAGGATTCAGCGCCGTGAGTTGGTACCTGTTTCAAATATAGCTTACTGATTGCCTCTTTGCATTATTTTGGGTGCCTCTATGTTCCATAACCGTCCTATTATAATTTGATAAAGCTTAGAAGCATTTTGTATCCTGTTGATTTTCCTTTCTGAATTTATCTCACTTCCCAAATAACTAAATGTTTCACCTATCTAACTATGATGTCATTAAATTTTATTCTGTATTCTCCTTCATAGGCTGGTCTGGCTAGTGATGTAAATATTGTCAGCTTCTGGACACAGCTTACTGGTCGTGGTACCGAAGTGATAGGTGCGGTGTGGGATGCTTATAAGCTAGGGGGAGGTAGCCCCTTATGCACCGAACTCATTGCCCGCTGGCACTACTCCCCTGAGAGGAGAAGTGGGTGGGGGAAGCTCCCCCAGCTGCAGTCCTACATGGATAAGATGCTCGTCCGATCGCGCTACATGGCCGGGGTCACCTTGAAGGTTGGTGTTCTTGTGGTAAGCATCAGAGGTCGAGACTACCACAGTATGGAAGAAGTCTGCAGACAAATTCAGTCCTAGTTTAGCTGTTAACTTAAGAAGTACAGTGCACATGCTGAAAAATCTTTGGTGCAATTTTAGGAACTGGTTTGATTGTTCATGGAGACTCCTGTACTCTTTAAAAGACAACTGCACCAATTGTCTGTGGAACTTCACACACATGAAACTATAGTGTACTGTCCTAACCAGTCCATGCTTATTGCATGCAAGGTCAAAGCCTACAAAAAGCCGCCGCTGACCGGCACTTCTGACGTTCCCTTCAGTCTCTCTGGGCAAATGCTTGGAAACTGCCTCAAATTAGGCCACAATCACTTCCTTCCACATCCATGTCAATTCATCAATCAACCTAACACATGACACTTCATGACCCGAGCTACTGACATCGTTGTTAAATAAATCACAAATAAAAGAAATGACCTTTGTGTATTGGTGCTAGAACAGGCTGGAAAACCAAACAGTGGGGCTAGGTCCCATCACACAGACTGGGGCTCTGGCTTAATGTAGCTAACTTTGTGGAGCTGAGCCCTTCTTGAAAAGCTGCCAGTTGTGCAGCTACTCAAGAACTTCCAAACAGTTTGTGGAATCTGAAGGTTCATTACCATGTTCACAAGAACCCCCCCCCCACTGGTCCCTGTCCTGAGCCAGATCGGTCCAGTCCATACCACCCCATCCTATCTCTCTAAGATCCATTTTAATATTATCCTACCACTTATGTTTAAGCCTTCCTAAGGCTCTTTCTTTCTGGCTTCCCACCAAAATCTTTTATGCATTCCTTTTCCCCCATTCGTGCTATATGCCCTGCCCATCTAGTCCATGACTTCATCATTCTAATTATACTTGGTGAACATACAAGTTATGAAGCTCCTCATTAAGAAGTCTTCTCTAATCTCCTGTCACTTCATCTCTCTTCGATCCACATATTATCCTCAGCACCCTGTTCTGAAACACCCTCAGTCTATGTTCATCCCTTAATATCAGAGACCAAGTCTCACACCCATATAGAATTGCAGGCAAAATTACACAAGGGTTGGATAAAAATTAGTGGTAACACTGCTGTAACATGAAAGATGTGCGTCAGATGGCACTAGCGCCATCTGTAGCTGATAGCAGAAGTTCAGTTGAAGTAGTGCAGTGAGTGGCTCTGGTTGTTTTTCATTGAGTTGCATTGTGCATCGTCTTGAAGTGCAGGAGCCCAGTTCACGCACCCTAACAACATGTTTATGAAATAAGAACAACGCTCCTGCAAAAAATTGAATTTGCACAAGGTTGTAGTGCACAAAACTGTCTGTGAATCATTCTGTGTAGTGTTCCAATCATAAAAAAAACTTTAATCCATTGCCTTTAATAGCTTCTCTTAGTCTTCCAATGCTAGTTTTGTTACCACATATTGTATTCTGGGGTGGAGTTGCTCGAGTTCTGTCCAACCCCCAACCTGGGGGACCAGGGGCTACCTAATGTCTGATGCTACCCCAACAGCTTATGCCCCAACTAGAATAGATGGCTCTCAAGGTGATGAGAAAATTTCTCATTCATTCACACTGAAACTGGTGTATGTTGTGCCTTCTTCAGGGAAAACCAGACTATGGGTTTGACTGCAGGACGGAACAAGATAAGCAGGGACATCTGATGGCAGTGCATGGTTACAGTGCACATATCTTGCGCACACTCATGGACCTGTTGCACTTCAAGTAAGTGGCACCCTAAATGTCACAGTTTGCAACTGACTTTACAGTTCGGAGCAAGCCTGCGCTGTGATCCAAGACTCTCATTTACTTTATATATGGTTTGGTTAATAGCACTGACAGTAACTCAGACTCTACAGCAGTGTGTGATTGGACAACTGTGAATACTTGGGGAAGGAATTGGTCATGGACTAACTTGAGGCATGATCCCAGCATTTGTTTGGCGGGAGAGAGGAACACCACAGAAACACTGGTGTGACTCGGCCCAGTCTCACCACAATACCCCACAACAACAAAATATTTACACTATAGTAAATATATCCCACGTACCAGCACATAAAAATCTCAAGTGAACCTCAAATGATGATAGATTCCACATTTCAAATGTATGCTGAAAAGATTTGACTGTTTCTGCAACAACACAATACAATTTATTATTTTGTTATACACTTATTGTAATCAATTTACTTCATATATTGGAGGTCCTGGGTTCAAATCTGTGCCTCATGACCAAGTATCCTGAGGTAATAGTGGTTTTCCTCAATCCCTGAAGAAAGCTGGGATCGTACCATAAAAAATTAGGCATAACCTCTGACTTACATGTGCCTTACAGTTAATTATTCAGCAATCATTTATCCTTTTTAGCACTACTATGTGATGCTCTGTGAGACGTTGAGGCTCAACCCTATGTGCCTCCATGGCCTGGTATGGGGATAGCTTTACTTTACTTACTATGTGATGCTCTAATTATTTAGATTAGAATGTCAAATGGTAGGATAACTGATGAATAACGAATTTGAGAGGATCTGGAAAGTAGTAGTTCTGATCTGAAGAAGGCACTATCCCAGTGAGACAGCCAGCGTCCCACTTGAAATTCGATTGCAGCACCTCCTTAATATGAGTCTAGGCCTACAGCATTAGTGATCAGTTCTAAGCATCGACCACTCAAATTAAATTAACGACACCTACTCAGACATGACCAACCTCATTTTCAAAACCCTACACAGATACTAACATACCTCCTACTCAGTCAAGAGTTAAGACTCACCCCCTTCCTCCACCTGTCCACACCCTGAACCACCTGCTCCATCCATGACACACCAGCACAGCCAGGCAGCCACTTCAGAGTACATATAGGTACTGCACAGTCTGGTGTCAGCA